AACAACCATGTGAAGAGGAGCATCAACGCGGATAAGTGTAAATATGCTGAAGATCTAGTAATGATGGCGGAAAAGGCGGCAAGAGAAGAAAGCATGAGACAATTGTAGGAAACAACAAAGAGTTTCGCTGGAAGTTATCACAAACCAGGATGGTTTGTGAAAAGCAAAGGAGGCAAAGTGATCAGAAACATTGAAGAACAACAAAACAGGTGGGTAGAGCACTTTTAGAAACTCTTGAATCGACTAAACCCACTGGAATCACTCAAGATCGAAGTAATACCCATGGACCTCCGAATCAATGTTGGCTCACCGAAAACTGAAGAGATCGGTGTGGCCATCAGACAAATCAAAGAATCGGAAAGCAGTGTGACTAGACAACATTCTTGCAGGGGCACTGAAAGCAGACATAACAATAACTGCAAAGATGTTGCACCCTCTGTTCAGGAAGATTTGGGATCAAGAAGAGTACCGACAGACTGGAGAGAAGGACACTTCATCAAGATACCAAAGAAAGGTGATCTAAGCAAGGGTGAGAACTACAGAGGCATCACTTCACTATCGGTACCAAAGAAAGTCTTCAATAGGGTGTTGTTAAACAGAATGAAGGATTCCGTAGATGCCCAACTTTGAGGTCAACAGATCATTGTGGAGCAATCAATTGAATGCAACTCGCAACTCTACATAAACTTCATTGACTACGAGAAAACGATTGATAGCGTGGACAGGATGACACTATGGAGGCTTCTTCGACACCATGGCGTGCCTGAGAATATAGTTAACATCATACGGACTTCTTACTATGGATTAAACTGCATAATCTTTGATGGAGGACAGCTGTATGCTGTTATTCTGGTAGTAACACCGTTTACAGAGATATTAATAATAAACTTGATACACCAAAAATATATTTATCACATAAGACTAATCACATTTTATATTAGAAATATTGTGAAAAAAATACATTTTATCTGACATTAGTTTCCAGTTGATAAAACAAAAAAACTGCGATAAACATTTATAAGCTGTGCAGTAAACGATAAACAATGATAAAAGTGCACACGTTTTTCTAAATTAACTGATTTGAGGACACAGTAGACAAGCTGGAAACAGAATTGACATAATAAATATGATCACTTATTTTGAAAAGAAAAACGTTTCTCTCCAAATGCCATCTTCTCTAAGATTAGTTCAAATCTGAAGACAGTTTTATTTATTCTGTTCAAATTTGAGACTTTTCAAAAGTAAGCATCTTTTTTAATGCATACGTTAACACTGCAGCTACTGAGTATGTTGATGTTAATGATCAAGTGACTTGAAAGATTTTGTGTTCGACCCAGTAAAAGGTATGGCTGTTTACAGTTGAGAACTCCAGAACTACCCTGAAACAAATGTCGTATGTTTTTTTTCTAGCTGAAGTATGGACTATTATCAAACTACCTTCATTTTTATCAACCATTGTATTAAATTTATTTATTTAAAATATTTACTGAATACAAGACCTTAGTACAGCATTCAGTTCTTAAATTAAAATACAAACCATGTTTTAATTCACTCTGACCAGGTTATACAGTCTTAAACAGGTAAAATAAAGTTGTTGGTTTAAGGTTTTCTGGAAACTCCGGTTACTTTAATCGAGTAAAATATGCCGTAAATTGTTCGGTATGTTTTAATGCCCTACTTTTTGACGTATTGTTGAAGAAACGCAAAAAAAAAGTTATGCTAGTACATTCTTGTTTTACTTAAAATGTTATCAATGAAGATAGTGGCAAACGAGTGGAAGTATTTCAATGTGTTTCTTTCAAAAAACTATAATTGACTATTTGAAACTTATATCCAGTAAAACTTCAGCTAGAGCCTTTCTAGGGTTATCGCCAGTCTCAAGCCTGGATAAAGGAAGATGTTCAGGCATTAGATTAGAAACCTCTTGCAACTCTGCAATAAGAAACCGCTAAGATGACAAATAATAAATTATGAGATAAACATAGTATTCACATGAAATGTAAGTTAAGCATTGAAAATTCTTTAATTTATTTTTAAAAAAAGAATATCATGAAGTAAATAAGTAATGGTTACCATTCTTCTTGTGATGTTTATAAGTATTCATTGGCTATCCCAATACGATAATATAATCTGAATGAAAACTTAAGCAAACAATAGAAAAACTTTGAAGTGCAAAAAGTGATCAGTTAATTTTCATTTAGAATATTTTATTGATGAACAAGGTGTTTGCTCAGAAACAGTAGATTAAAGTTTTGTAAATCCTCTTCAAAATTATTCAAATCCATCATATTTACCAAGTGATTAATGAATCTGTTTTGATCAACAAATTGATTTTCACAATTGTGATTATTTATTCCGACTTTTAGTTTTCGGATTCCATTCCACCGATTTCATCGTGAATACATTTTCTGCAACCTAATATAGAAAATTCATCGCTTAAGTAGTAGTGCCTACTTTATTAAATTTTACTGTTCTCTACCCATTGACAGACGATGTCAATGGTGTGTATTTGTAAAGTCTCAACAGTTTATCTTGCATTCGTCAAGTGGAGTCTAAATGTTTCAATCAGTTCATCTCATAGAAATAATAAATTCTGCATGTTTGGTATAAGAAGATAGAATGGAGTTATGTAAAAGAATATGAGTACTAAATTATGTCTGGTACCTTATTCTGTAAATTTTATCTCATTATGAAAAATCTAATAAGAAAACTAGAAGTTAAATTCGATCACCTCATTGATTCATTTTTCTATTCTTATGCGTAAAATAATCTCTTGGCTGTTAATCGACTGACTGGATGGATTCCACTAGTTACTGTTCCCCAGCGGGACCTTAAAAAAATTCAATGGTTCTCCGGCAGATGACATTTTAGGACTGGAATTGTTTTCAAAAGTGAAAAATAAAATTACTTTCATATTATTTATGTTAATTAACAGCACGATATGGCTAAACGATATCGACGAGATGAACACAAACATGAGATTTTCTACCATTTGTATTTATCAACAATAAATTAGCACTTAAAAATAAAGATTGTTTGTCAATAAACTGACCCTCTGTTGTGAGGAAAAACTGAACATTTACATGATATTTTCTCCTTTCGTCATTAAGATTAACTATAGGCCTCTATTTTTGTAAATGACTAGCAAATGCTATTCTATATTTGGATTTCTTTTGAATGTATATAGTTTTTCCCCTTTAGTCTTTAAAGAATAAATAATTCCGGAGGTTGTCAAAAGTTAAGCCGAAAGAGGATTTACAAGTCTTCACCCTGAAATCGATAATGATTATAAGGTCACAGTTCAGTTTATCCGAAGGAGTCAAGTGGCCCAGAGTCTGTCACATAATAACTAGTGGCACCATAAATATATCCTACATCGGCTAAATTGCTCTTTTATGATGTCCCAATATGGCCCTTGAGGAGAGAGAAACACCTGAGAAATACGGCTGAATTACAAGATAAGATGAAAACTTTCCAACCAGTAGTTGAGATTATTCAATTTCTGGAAAGTGATGATCTCCTAGACAGGCAGAATCGTTTATGCACTGTGTACTATTTTATCTTTCGAATTAGCCTCCTATAACGAAATTAATGGTCTGAAAATCCCTCCCAAATGTTTTGTTTGACAGTATTACTACTATGTTAATTTTTCTGCATGCTTTGAACGTAAACTTTTATCCAGGATTCACGTAACTATATCTTCACATTTCCTTATTTTTCTTTCAGTAAGCCGTTATTATTTGATTTTTCTGCATGATTTCGGGTCACCAACAGTAACGTTTTGTTTGACTGAGCTCATGGTTATGTCGTGAAAGTGTTACGCACGCGCGTAAACACGTCATTTGATATGCCTGAACTTTTACAAGTTTACTTTATTCGGAAAACGAGAGCGAGGATTGTGGATGACACGACAGGCTGCTCTAATCCGAGCAACCCAAACCCCCATTGAGTAAAAGAAGAAGGCTCGATATGAATTAGAACATGTATTCTACGAGCATCCAGGAAGTACGAGGCCAAGGTCTAGAAGAGAATCAGGACTGAAGACTAGGGATCCGGGTCCGGGTCATAAGATGTTACAGATAATTCATATTTATACAGCTGAATAGGAAACAACATTTGAAGTATGTAACATTAATAGTTAGGACGATCAATAAAAATTACCAGTAGTGTTGGACTTACAAAAAAATTCACTTGAGATATTTGACGAATATCGGCTTTAGCTAATGTTTATGTATATTCCGAAGCATCAAGTGTCTTCCACAGAGAGATTTAAATTCCACGTTTGGTAACATAGTTTGATTCCTTTAGACTGCCTTGTTCATAACGCTTACCAAAAAATGCTAGCTAATGGTGTATGCTCCACTAAGAGTATCAGGCGTAAACAAGTTGTAAAAAACGAATGCCATGCTGGAAACAAATTTTCGGCTCAGGACTTCTTACTCCCTTATTTTGTGAATGTTGTCTGACCTATCACTGTAATCAGTCTTCCGTTTTGAAACTAAAACTATGAAAGTCTTATTTTCCATAACCATATCAAGTCTTTTCACAATTTGTACACATTCGACTTCAGCTGTAGTAGCAAACACAGCCGAGTTGAACACCTTATGAAAACCTAGGTGATTGAAGACTACCCAACTAGGATGACTTCAGATTGATAGAAATAACCTCACTTGTTTAATTTTGACTTCGCTTTCTAGTATAGCTTTTAGTAGCGTTTGCGAATAAAAATGGCATCTCTTTGCTTTCGAGAAGCATTGATTAAACAAACACACAGGTTTTCTCTGAAGTGCAGATGTCATATTCGTGCCACATTAATGGTGCTGACGTATGTATTTCTTAGATAACGTACTTCATTCAAGGTGGTGGCAACAACCCAGTAGTTAACAAAGGCTTTTTTACATTGTTCATTGTCCATCGACATGGCTTAAACACATGTAGTCTAAGCCGTAAAAAATAAAATTGTCCGTTCCCAGTTTCTAAAAATTCAACAAAATAATATTGCAGAATAGGTTTACCAATGCTCATATGATTAGATTTCATCTTCCCGGACTCATTGTTTTATTGCTTAGATTCCCAAGGTTTTCTCCCGGCAAATTTTACAGCTTGCTGAATTGTTGGCACTTTCGTAATGCTCGCTTCACAGATTTGACGAACATATGGGTTTGTGCAAGTGCGAACGAAGACGAGTCACTAACTTGTTTTGTTTTGAGCACCGGGTTAATGTATGTGAATTTTGCTTGGTTGCAAATCACAATAAGGTATGAAAATAGTTGATGTTTGTTTTACAGTAGTGCATTGTTAAATCGTATCTTCGATGGATAAAAGATAGTGATTTTAATCCATCATGTAGTATCTGTCACGAGCTCTTTGAAGCAGGCCCCTCTAAGAAATGTGTTCGTTTGGTGTGTCTAGGTTTGTAACACAACATATTTTGAGTAAACGCCTTTGTTGTAGATGTTTTTCACTGGGATTGCCTTAATAACTACGTGATGAGCTTGCCACCAACAACAACCCCAGCGGGTTTCTTGTGTCCGTTGTGTGGTCAACCCATCATTCCTCAGGCTAACCATGGTGGTCCTGTTGCGGAAGCGCTCAGAACGTGTTTACGCGAAATTGATTGGGCTAAAGAAAGTTTGAATGAAATAAGGCCTTTTTTCCCGTTGGAAAATTCTCCAAAAAACACCTTAACACCGAATATAAACAATTGTATTTCGAGTAAGCTCCTGATATATATTCTAGCGAATTAGTTTATAAAAACCTTTATATCTTAACTAAACCAGGAGGTTTTGAATGACTGCGATGCAATACAATGTATCATACTTAAATCCTATTTTCGATATACTTATCTTTCCCGTGGGATGATACCTAAGTAGTTTGCCTACCATAGTAGGTGCGGTCGCCCCACTCATCTTGGTCTATGTACGATGGTTTGCTTATTCACTCACGAAATGTTTAATGCTAGTTGTTGATTGAAACCCTGATGTCTCTACTGAAAGCGGCTTTTCAAGGTGCAGTCTTTTTATGTGTATGGAGGATCATCGCCGTTATCTGACCCATAGGTAATAAGTTTCCTTTGGGAACGCAAATAATCTCCGTACATGCTTAAAATATCTACCCGTCTATCGAGCTACTACTACAATCTCTGTTGAGTACATTCACTGCTTTCAAATTAAATTCTTGATTTCATTCTGGCTACACTCGGTTCCATTTTAAGCGCTCACAAAATAATACCATACTAGCTATCTACCTATTTGATTAAGAGTTTTAGACTGATAGTACATAAATGGTTAATTTTCGGTACACAGTCGATTACATTATTTCGGTTTCGGCTTTCAGTGCGACGAAAATCCTGAAACCATAGACTCAACATGAAAATCAACAAAAATTCCTCATCGTCTCTACCTTTTTTTAAAGTTATCTCACTGAACTATACTTCCTGAATAAATCCTTCGATCCCTAATATTTTCCATTATCAGTAATTCTACTGTCGTTACCACTGTTGGATTTGAACTGACAGTTGTGTCTCTGTGCTAATGCGGTAGGGGTGCCTGAACTGACGTACGTACGAAGTTCTACGTTGTAACTGACTGACTGATTCTGCAGGTAAAAAAGCTAAATTTGTAGTACTTTGCTGAAATCCTATATGAGAATCGCAGCACTATATAGTGTTAAGGTCCAGAGACTTAGATCTCATGGTAGCCTCGTCTTTTTTAAAGTTATAATGTTTAAGACGACTAATGTAAGTGGCAAACATAGTTTGAAATAATCTGCATTAGTTTTCATACTTAGCTACTGCTTTTGAAAAGCTACTATTTGAATAATATTCAGTATATTCAAGCTTTTCAGCGACAAAATTATGTGATTTAGAGTCGAATCTTATCGTAGTTAGTCACCAAATATTTTTAAAGTAATAAAGTGAAGCCGAGCATTACTTTTACTTACTTTCGCCTGTTACCCCCAATGGAGCATAGGCCGCCCACCAGTTTTCTCCAACCAACTCTGTCCTGGGCTTCCCTCTCCAGTTCTGTCCAATGTTTGTTCATTCCTCTCATATCTTTCTCTATTTCTCGGCGTAGTGTGTTCCTTGGCCTTCCTCTTTTCCTTTTCCCTTGAGGGTTCCATGTGAGGGCTTGTCTAGTGACGCAGTTGGGTGCTTTCTTCATTGTGTGTCCTATCCACTTCCACCGCTTCTTCCTGATTTCTTCCTCCACTGGAATCTCGTCTCTTCTGTCCCATAGTAGGTTGTTGCTGATGGTGTCTGGCCAACGAATATGAAGTATTTTGCGTAGACAACTGTTAATAAACACTTGTATCTTCTGGATGATGGCTTTGGTAGTTCTCCATGTTTCCGCTCCATACAGTAGAACTGTCTTGACATTTGTATTGAAGATCCTGATTTTGGTTTTGTTTGAAAGTTGTTTGGAGTTCCAGATATTTTTCAACTGTAGAAATGCAGCCCTTGCTTTGCCAATCCGCGCCCTCACATCTGCGTCCGATCCACCTTTCTCGTCGATGATGCTGCCAAGATATGTGAAGGTGTTAACGTCCTCCAAGGTATCTCCATCAAGCGTGATTCGGTTGGTGCATGTTGTGTTGCATCGGAGAATTTCGCTTTTTCCTTTATGTATGTTGAGACCTACTGCTGCAGAGGCTGCTGCTACACTGGTCGTCTTCTCTTGCATTTGTTGTTGAGTGTGCGATAGAAGAGCCAGGTCATCTGCGAAGTCCAGATCGTCCAGCTGCGTCCTAACTGTCCAGTTGATACCGTGCTTCCCTCCAGATGTTGACGTCTTCATAATCCAGTCGATGACCAGGAGAAAGAGAAAGGGTGAGAGTAAGCAACCTTGCCTGACACCGGTCTTCACCTCAAAAGAGTCTGTCAGCTGACCTCCGTGTACGATTTTGCAGTTGAATCCATCATAAGAATTCCGTATGATGTTGACTATTTTCTCAGGCACACCGTAGTGTCGAAGAAGCCTCCACAGTGTTTTCCTATCCACGCTATCGAATGCTTTCTCGTAGTCGATGAAGTTGATGTAGAGTGGTGAGTTCCATTCAATTGATTGTTCCACAATGATCCGTAATGTAGCAATTTGGTCAGTACACGATCGATCCTTACGAAATCCAGCCTGTTGATCTCGAAGTTGGGCGTCTACGAAGTCCTTCATTCTGTTTAACAATACTCTGTTGAAGACTTTGCCTGGTATTGAAAGAAGAGTGATGCCTCTGTAGTTTTCACACTTGCTGAGACCGCCTTTCTTTGGTATTTTGATCAGGTATCCTTCTTTCCAATCTGATGGTACTTGTTCCTCATCCCAAATCTTCTTGAAGAGAATGTGAAATATTTTCGCAGTTGCTTCCACATCTGCTTTCATTGCCTCTGCTGGAATGTTGTCTGGTCCTGCTGCTTTGCCGCTCTTGATTTGTCTGATGGCCATACTGATCTCCTCAATCGTAGGTGCGCCAATATTAATTGGGAGGTCCGTGGATGCTGCTTCGATGTTGGGTGGGTTCAGTGGAGCTGGTCGATTCAATAGTTCCTTAAAGTGCTCCACCCACCTATTTCGCTGTTCTGGTTTACGATAGTTTCCGGCGAGCTTCTTTGTAGTTTCGTACAATTGTCTCAAGTTTCCTTCTCTTGCAGCCTTTTCCGCCGTCATTGCTAGATAATCCACATATTTTCGTTTGTCAGCTCTTCTTCACTTCCCTGTTTGCTTCTGTATACTCGGCTTGCGCCTTAACTTTCTCTGCTCTTGTTCGGCAGACATTGATAGCTGCCTTCTTGTTCCTCCTTTCTTGAATTTCTTCAAGAGTACCAACAGAGATCCATTCCTTGTGATGGTGCTTCTTGCGACCAAGGACCTCCTGACATGTTGAAGTGATTGCCTCCTTAATCCCTTTCCAATTGTTCTCCAATGTTGCTTCCTCTCCATTGTGTAGATCCTGAAAGGCCTGGAACCTATTGGTGAGGGCTATCTTGAATTCGTTGAGTTTTACGGTATCCCGAAGAAAGGCCGTATTAAACTTCTGTGATGTTGTCTGCCCCGCTGTCCAGTGCTTCTTTAGCTTCAATCTCATTTTGGCGATCAGCAAGTGGTGATCTGAAGCTATATCAGCTCCTCTCTTGGTTCTCACATCCTCCATGGTCCTTCTGAACTTTTTGTTGATACAGATATGGTCAATTTGGTTTTGAGTAGTGTGGTCCGGTGAAATCCATGTGGCTTTGTGAATGCGTTTGTGCGGGAATATTGTGCCACCGATGACCAGTTTGTTGAAGGCACATAGGTTTGCAAATCTCTCACCGTTTTCGTTCCTTTCTCCCAGTCCATGTCGTCCCATGATGTCTTCATATCCAGTGTTGTCCATTCCAACCTTGGCATTCAGGTCTCCCATAAGAATCGTCAAATCCTTTGGTGAACATTTATCGACGACTGACTGCAGCCTTTCGTAGAATTGATCTTTAACGTCGTCATTGTAGTCATTGGTAGGTGCATAACATTGGATGACGTTCATTGTAATGTCCTGTTTCTTTGTTTTGAAGGATGCTTTAATGATCCTGGGTCCATGAGATTCCCATCCTATCAGTGCCTTTTGTGCATGTTTGGACAGCATCAGTGCAACTCCTTGTGTATGTGAAGCGTTTTCCTCTTCATGACCAGAGTATAACAGCAGTTCCCCTGAAGCAAGTCTCAGTTGTCCTACCTGTGTCCAATGTGTTTCACTGATGCCGAGCACCTCGAGGTTGTATCTTTTCATTTCTGCCGCAACTTGAAATAGTCTTCCAGTCTCCCACAATGTACGAACGTTCCATGTACCTAAAAAAATGGTTGCTCTGGTTGTCAGAAGAGGCATCGGCCCCGTGACTTCCGAGGGGACTCGGCTTTCATCACGAGACGTCATAATTCTTCTTCCAACTCCCAGGGCAGAGTTAAAATGGTTTGAATTATTTTTTCTGGTTAGCGTTTTTTTGGCAAGTTAGATTTCAACGGAATGGGGTCGCCAACCCCATGTCCAACCCTCCTCCTTTATCCGGGCTTGGGACCGGCAGTAGCCCCTAAGGTTCTACTGGCGGAGTTGAAGCCGAGCATGCTCTTCTGTTAAAGCCTAACCCTATGCACTTCGGATTAATGCGTGTGAGTGATCAGCAGCCATAAGAGATGACTTTTTTGCTAGTAAAACTCTGCTCTTGAATCAAATCTAAGAATTTAGTTTATGAGGTAATAAAGTGACGTTGAGGAGTTTATTCATATGGTATTCGATGACCATAGTAGTTCACTAGCTATTTGCTTCTTCATGACCTTAAATCATATGCACACAACTAAGTTAAAAACAGGTTTCTATATTTCTCTGTTAAATCTTCCTTCAAATTCAATTTTGTTTTTAACAAGAAACTAGCCTTATTAGATTAATCTTCTCTTATATATCACAGTTAATATTCTGTCCATGCGGTTAGTTGGTTGATACACAATTTACTGAATGCCTTCATTAAAAATATTGATAGATAAAATACGTTTTAATAAAGCGTTATATAATGAAATAAAGAATTACACTCTGTTTGAATACAAAGTCAGTCAGTCAGTTGCAACGTAGAACTTCGTACGTATGTACATAAGTTCAGGTTGCCATACCACATTAGCACAGAGACGCAAATGTCAAATCAAATCCCATAGTGATAAAGATAGTAGAGGTATTAATGGTAATGAAGAAGACTAGGGTTTGAAGATATTATTCAAGAAGTATAATTCAGTGAGATAAGGTTAGAAAGACTAAGGTAGAGGCGCTGACGAATCAAGAAGATTAGGATTTTAGAGAGCTCAACGAATGGATGCACTTGCGCCATTGCAAACGATTTTGAGCCATGTCGTTCAAGGTCTCTAACCATCGGTGACTTTCGTCTCGCGGACTTCAACCAGGTAGTCTACATCTACCAACATGACTCAGTCCACTTGTCAGTGACTTCATGGATTTCTGCCATGTTTTGATCTGGCCGCCCCTAGCTTTTTTCCAACCTACTCCCACGCCACAAAACATAGCTCGTCGAGGCAGTCGGTGGTTAGCCATACGTAACACATGTCCCAACCACCTCAACTTGTGAAGTTTCACCACTTCATCTATTGATCTGCCATCCTTACCTAGCACCCGTTTCCTAACGAAAGCGTTGCTTACTCGGTTGTCCCACGATATACGAGCAATGCTTCTTAAACATCTATGATCGAAAACTATTAACCTACGAACGTCTTCTACTCTCAACGGCCATGTTTCACAGCCATATAGTAGAACGGAGCGAACTGCTGCACAGTACACCCGTCCTTTGGTTAGCAAACGGATATCACGCCTACGCCATAAGTGACGCAGGTTTGCAAAAGCCAATCGAGCTTTCTGTATGCGCGCTGAGATTTCGTCAGTTCACCAGGCTATCAGCGCTGATGAGACTCCCAAGATAAGTGAACTGATCAACATGCTCGACTACTTCACTCCCTATCACTAGTTCGCCGATGCAACCCAGTCTTGGAGCAACATTTTGCATTTCGACGTGGAGAAGCGCATCCCGAACATGCTTGCATTGTTGCTTAGGGTAGTCAGAAGACTGCATTTTGTCAGCGTCTTCACCGAATAGAACTATGTCATCGGCATATTCTAGGTCAGTAATCGATTTTCCTGGTAGAAGGTGTACCCCTGAAAAATCTGACGAGGATAAGGTTATTTCTAGGAGCATGTCTATGATAAAATTAAACAAGAATGGAGAAAGTGGACATCCCTGACGGATATCACTTGAAGTAAAGAATTCCGATAATAGTTCTCCATAAGCTCTCACTCGACCAGTGGTGTTCGAGTAAAGAGCTTGTATAAGGTAAATGTACTTCTTTGGTACACCTTTCAATGACAGACACTACCACAGAACCTCACGATCCACTGAGTCAAATGCCGCTTTTAGGTCCAGGAACACGACTATTGTCTGACGTCTAAATGTGTGTCTTTTCCAGGACCTGTGGTAGTGTGAAGATGTGGTCTATACAACCACGTCCAGGTCTGAAACCAGCCTGGTTTTCTCGAGTCTGCTCTTCACGAGCTCTATTTAGACGTCTAAGTATAATGGAGGCTAACAATTTAGAAACTATTTTAGTTAGACTTATTCCCCTGTGATTGCTACAAGAAGACGTTTGTCCTTTCTTATAAATTGGGACAATCAGCGATTGAGACCAGCCGAGTGAGATTACGTCCAGTTCCCAGATTCTACCTAGGATCTCAGTCAGTCTAACTGTTAAAACTGGACCATCATCCTTAAACATCTCGGGGGTAAGCCTATCAGGACCTGCAGCTCGTCCTCGCTTTAGATTTCCTATAGCTTTCTCAACTTCATGTAGACTGGGAGGACTTAAATCGATTTGCCATTCAGGATGACTGGGGATCGTGGGCAACCGGAGTGTGGCTCGAGGCCAATTGAACTGATGCCTCAAGTGTTCTGCCCATCGGTCCAGTCTCCTGGATTGAGAATGGATAATAAGACCATCCTTTTTTGAGATAGTCCCACATTCGGGTTCCTAATACCAATTTTCTTGATAAGTCGGAAAAGTTGTCTAGTGTTGCCTATCGCCGCTGCCCTTTCCATCGCTTTTGCTTTCGCCACCCACCACTGTACGCGGTCGTTACGTAGGCTTTTTATCAGTCTGCGCCTAAGCTGACTACGTTCTTCATCATGTTCAGAGTCAGTTGGGATGCGTTTTCGAGCATCCATCAGTTCGGTGGATGCTACAGACATCCATGGCTTCATTTTAGCCTTATGGTTAACCTTACTAGCAGATATCACTGCTGTTTCCACAGCCTTCTTGATATCATTCCAACCTGACTCCGGATGGGAATCACTTGCACGGTCGCCTAACTGTTTTTCTAGTTCCTCCTGAAATATTTTCGTAGCTTGATTATGATTAAGTAAAACCCTAAGAGGCTTACTTACGGTGTATTTCCTACGTCCAGTAAGCCTCAAACAAATACGAGCTCGCACTAGGGCATGATCTTAATCTAAACATGTGCCCCACAACGAGCGGCAGTCCTCTATCGAACCCCTCCATCGGTGGCTGATGGCGATACGATCTAGTTGCGTCCAACGTTGAGACGACTTCGTGGGTCGCCAGGTCAAAAGATGTTTCTTTTTATGCTTAAAATTAGTGTTTGCTAGGAATAGGCGGTTATCTGAGCACAGTTGCAACAGACGGTCGCCATTGTCTGTTCTTTGAGCCGCGACACCATAACATCCACCTAGGTGTCTTTCATTTTCACTTAGTCTACCTACTTGAGCATTGAAGTCACCAGCCATTATAACTATATCAGAGCGCTTAACAAGAGGAAGATGGTAATCATGGCTAATTTAGGAGAACGTCATCTCTAGGATCACTGCAGTGATAGAAGTCTTGTGGCTAGAGCACTGAACCGTTAATTGAGCTGCAATATATTCGAATCTCTATCTTGCATGGTACCAAGTGCGCATACATGTATCCAGTTTCCAATTGTTATTAAGTCATCTATGTATCCCTAATGGTTTACTACTGCAACTAACTGAGGGTTTCGCGGTCTTTTTGCACTCAGTTAAAATAAATTCAACTATAAAATGATCTTATGTACTTGATATAGCTGCTTACTCGCAGCGTCCATCTAATGTAACATAATATGATAAATTAGACGTACAGTGAGTGAAATTTCGGATTGTTAGTCGGACTCTAATATCAGTCTATTTAGCAATCACTTACATCGTTTATGATGTAGCAGTGCCCTCTGTGCTTGAAACTGAAATGGTAACTCAATGACTCTCTCGTAGACTAACTCATTTTTCATGCAAAGACATTATGGTTTTATGTCTGACGATTCGATGACATTCACTTGATTTTCACTTATTCGCTATATATATATCGGCTTTAATTTCAGACCCAACAGATGGAAAGCTTCTCGATCCACGTCTAGATGTAGCTGCAAGGCAATTTCTGAAAGGACGTGATGTTACCAATATACTGGAGAGCCCTCAGAAGAAAACGGAATCCCAGATAGATAACAGCTCTAAGGATACTAATATTTCCCAGCTTCATTATCAACGAAGGGATCAACCATTGTTGGACTCCCAAAGATTGTTTATATCTGAAAATGATGATAATGATAAACATAAACGACATCTAACATTGTCATGGTTCAGACGCTTCCTCAGGTAAGATTTTCTTCACCAATTACTGTCTTCTGTTTGTCTCTTTGAAGCATTTGACAAACTAGGTTTCATTGATTGAATATTATTATTATTTCCGGATACATAATCAGGGCGAAATCCTTCAGCATTATGATATGCAATAAATATTACATCACGTCTGAAACGGTAAAGAAGTCATAAAATAACGGATTAAATTTCAGTAAATAGATGTTAGGCCAATTTGTACGTTTCTTAAGAAGCAGTCTCCACCCGATGATCGACTTAGAAAACAAGTAAGTGAGAAATGAAGTTTCGAACATCAAATGTCACACTATAAAGAAGGCTGACACACTATTTTTCTACTCTTAGGTTAATCCAAAAACTGGTTCTCTGATTCTGCAATTATGATTATTTATCACTGATAAATATTGCAGCATAGTTTCTTCTAAAATGTATACTTGATCTACCATACCTTAGGAGCAATAAATATTGGTCCTTACTTTTCATAGCTGTCGGTATAAACAAAAGCTTTTGCCAAATCGTATCACCCAAATGATTTCTTGATTGAGCTTCACATTCCTTAAAAATGTGACCTGCTTTTTGTTTGTGTAAATATTATGTCGAAGTTTATTTTTTTTTATCAAAATGTCTAGATCTATTGTGCAACATTTATTCCTGTCTGATATGTAGGATTATTTTTTCTATTCTGCCCTGAACAGTAGTTTAATATTTTAGTAAACTCAAGTACAAGCTAATTCTTATCTTATCCTAGTCGTCTTATTTTCATATATACAAGAATTAGTGCAGAAGTCGAGAAATATTTAGTTTCATGGCGGGTTAAGAATGAACAGCATTTTCATTTAAAAATCAATATTTTAAAATAAATTGATTTTCTTTGCATGTATGTATAGTTATTATTGATATTATACATACTTATTCTATTCTTTTTTAGAAGGCATTCATCACACTTTTCACGTTTATCGGCTATTCGAAGAAATCGTCTTATTATATTAATTATGGGTTGTATTATATTTATTTTTCTACTGGGTTTCTATGGTTCTCAACCGAAAGATATCACTGGCGATCCATTATTAGATCCTCATATGAATCCAAATATTCATTTTAATCTGGAATCTGTTGATTTAAACAAAGGAGTTCTAAATGATGATTCTAATAGAGATAGACGTATTATTGATGGTTTAAATGAAGCCTAATTCTACAGCTAAATAGTATTAAAAAAACAAATACAAATTTCTTCACCTCGACCTGAACCAATCAACATTTTTATCTAATGTAACTCATGATTTTGTCTTTTATTTTCTACTCTATAGATTCTGTTTTTGATATCTTGTTATTGAAATCGTTAGTCTTTTAAGTTTTGAATAAATTACTTCAGTCAAGTTGGATCCGATTTTGCATATTTAAACGTCATTCAACTGTATATTTTTTATATTTTTCCTACTCATCAGTGTAATACTATTCTTGTATAGTTTCATTTTAATGACTATGCTGGTGAGCACTGGTTAATTTGCTTTCGTTTTGTGATGTTATGAATCCCCGTAACTTATTTCTTTTAATGACCCGAGTCTCTTTCTTAGTGAATGTATAGTAACCAACATTCGTCCATATTTGGTATTGGTAATCAAATATGTACAAGATATTTTACAATATTTAAAGTCACCACATTTGTTTTGAAGTCTTTTTGGTTGCTGATATTAAACTTTATAAAACTGTGTTTTCTGTTTGTTTGTGTATTTGAATGGTTCTTCGGGGATGCTAACCATCAGGTGACTAACTAGTCACAATAATTTAACAATTGAACTGTAAGTTTCAGTTCACAAAGTTTGTAGCAGCATAGAACAATAATAATCGGCCTAAGGGCATAAAATAACGGATTTTTGAGTTCCTAGAAAATTCTGGCCACTGCTTTTGTCAACGATGATCCAGCATGTTAGAGAAGTTAGTTAGTTTAATCCCACGCCACTCGAAAGTGGCAAGGAACAGAGTTTAACAACAATCTTAATGTCTTGCATGAAAGAAAGTTGTCTTGACTAATGAATAAGTTGTTTATGATTTCAAACAACTAATGAAATAAGAACACAAACACTATGTTAGAACTATGTACATTCAGCTGATGAGTGAAAAATAGAATAAAACTAAATTCTTTATTTTTATTGATACTGACGTACCATTTTATACTGTTTCGCATGAATTAAGAGGTATAACCTATCACCTCTGCAGTTAGCCATTTTATAATGTCTCGTTTTTGTGTTCCAATCCAGTCGATATCACATTGTGAGTTTTTAAAGTCATTATACTTATCGAACATTTTCTGACCATGTCTACTAATTCATCTTGGAATCTTAATTGATCCTTAACAACCATCCAATATTCGTTTGTTGTTGTTAGCCATCAAACTAAAGTCTCACTTCCATACTTAATTCAGTGTACATACTCTGTAGCATTCTCAAGTACGTAACTAAGACAATCTGGTTAGCTGGAGCGATCCAGGGTTCATTTCGATCTAAAATTCAACTGGGCGTAATTTTATATCTATATACTCAAACCTGGACTTGGTTTGTTTTCAATTGTGGTCATGATCTCTTGGTTTCATTCTTTCTCTGTATCTTTCTCTACGTTACTGGACTTAGGAAAACTTTAACCTTCAAAGTAAACTTGACTCAATCAAAAATTATCAGCCAATAAGACAGCTGCTAACAACAGATGTCAAGTAAACCAGTAGTTCTAGTAATCTGAAAAAGCTATCAGTGAAGGGCAAACTATGCATTTGGGTGGGATTTTTCATGCTCTGTCATATACACAGAAACGAAATTCTTCGAAACCTAATTTTCTCCTTAAACGATGATACTCCTAATACATCAACTATTATGAGATTTGAAATGACTATTTCATCTCTGTCTTAATGTGTTGTGGCAACTTGGACTGATGTATGTACGTACGAATTCCTACTTTGCAGCTGACCAACTGAAGTTACTCTGTCGTTATGTGTGAGTATGGTTTTAAAACCTCACAAACTTTTTGGTTAGTACTGTAAACAGTCTAAAGCAACTTATAAGGTGTTGACCCCCTTCCAAAAAGTTACTCTGATAAAGTGAAGTTCGTTGATGATAAGTGACAAGGACAATAACAATGCACCGTCACCCTAATTTAGTTTTCAGTCTTCACCAACTAGTAAGCCCTGTAAAAATTCGTGCAGACCAACTTCTGACATTTATCTAAGTAAGGGCTATATGATAAGCTGTTTTCACAAATTTTTATTTTAGTGTGTAGTAATTTCACTTTTACGAAGAAAACATTCGTTCTTAAAATCAGTTGTACCAGTGGAGCATTTTGTTCATTCGTACGTTTGTATCAAACTTTGCTTCTGAGTGGTCGCCATTTTGCTTCTCTTTACCATTCACCCATTTTCTCTGGCACAGAGACCCGAACGTAGACGTGTTCAGTCATCCTCGACTTGCACCACTACAAAAGCTTGCATAGAGATTTTACTAGCTTTTTAGGAGTGCTGTCCTTGTGATATTTTTTAGCTGAACTATAAATAACCGTTATTTTCTAAATAAAGAGGTTTGAATTTATGAATAGTTGTGGAGGTTGGTTTAGGCACTCGTGCTCTTGCCCAGTTGAAATTCAAAATAAATTAGTTGCGTAAGTATCTGATCTAAATAAAGCTATACATTTAGATGAACGTACCTAAACTTACGAATATCCGGCAAAATTAAATAAAGGAGATAAACTGACGAGGGATATGGGACATTTACCAGTTCCATAAATGAATATTGATATTAATACAGAGTATTATTCGATCCTGTCCATGCGATCTGTTCATAAATTAATATTTAACATTGTTACAACAATGATCGTTTCCTGCCCTGAAAGTATGCTGCAATTCACGACCAAATAAAAGTAATTCTAGTCTGTTCAAGTAATAGAATCTGAGGTCAGACAAATCAAGTTGGGACGTGTGATAACCAACGTTTGAAGTAAATCGACTTTAATCGTTGTAATTACATGAATTCGACAGTCACATAAGGAAAGCGAAAACTATCAAAAAACAAACAGTAACTGTCTCACTTAGAATCAGTAGAATGTACGGTTGAAGGGGTCAAGAATAACTATACATTTGACAGTGCAACAAAAAGCTGTGTTGCTAAAGTGTGCAAATGGAAGAATTTTCGTATGCATACACAAAAATATTCATTAGGATTTTCACGATAATGCTAGGATATTCATCCAATATCCTAAGAGAATTATTGGTCAATTCCTATTGGTTCATTCCTACTGGTTAATTTTATGGTAGTCCTAGATATCGATGTCACATGCTCCAATGTTGTTTCTATTGGTTGTCCTGCTATCAATGTCACTTCAAATGTTACTTACTTGGTCGTCTTAACTGTCAATGTCACACACTTCGATGCTGTTTCCTATTCGACCGAAATGTATAAATACGCATGATCTGTACCGTTTTATGACCAGGATCAGCGCTCGGTCCCAGATCCCTAGTCCGGGATCCTGATTCTCTTCTGGATTCGGACCTCGTACTTTCTGGATACTTGTAGAATACATGTTCTACTTCATATCATGTCTTCTTATTTTAACTAAATATTGGGGTTGTAATAATCGGATATGAATAACATGCGTCACCAGATCCTCGATCCTCGCTCTCGTTTCCGACAAGGTAAACTCGTAATAGTTCAAGTATATCAAGTTGACGTGTTCACGTGAAGGCGTAACAGATAAAAAATTCACAAAACTACTGAATCAGACGTTTCTATGGCTGAGATGTGAACATGACACGAAGATAATTGCCTCGCTGATTGAACTCACTGTACAGGCAAGAAATCTGTAAGGTCAGTTGCCACAGAACTGGCTAACTCGGTTGTAACAACTTGTTTGAAAACCTGACAGCGGCTGTTGCTGCAGAGGTGCACCAGTTCTTAAGACTCAGTACCCCAAGCAGGCCTAATCGCAAAGGTTGAGGAAATTGGCTTCACTGACCCACTCGTATCTTGGCTCAGAAACTAACTTGAGAATAGAAAGTTTCGTACAAATGTAAATAGAGTGCACGCAAGCTGGCGAGTATCCACATCGGCAGCTTCACAGGGGACCATCTTAGGCCCACCTCTCTCCCTGATATTCATTAACGACCTGTTAGGCTAAGTTAGCTCACTAGAATTGATCTACGCAAACAATTCGAAGATCTGGAGGTCCGTCAGAAGCTAAGAGGATTAGGCTGAGCTTCAAAAGAACCTTATGTCTATTGAGGAACGGGCAGTGAAAAACGGTTTAAAACTCAACCAACCGAAGTGCCACTTCATGTATATTCTGCCCTACATGACGCAAAAGATTTACACCTTCAATGGAAGTCCGCTCCCTAATGTCTCCTTAGAGCGCGATCTCGGTTCAATAACCACTGAAAGCCTCCACACGAGTCCACAATTATTTTTAACACTATTTAAGACGTATACGCGCCCACACCTGGAGGTTCACAACGTCATTGCACCCCCTCTGCTTAAAAGAGACAAATCTCTTGGATCGAGTGCAGGGACTAGCAACGAAATGGGTGATAGGGTTGAAGAATAAACTTAACGATGATAGACACCAGCTCTTGGGATTATTTCCACTGAGCTACAGGAGAATCAAAGGCGATCTGATTATGGCGTACACCATATTAAACACGCCAAACCATCCCAATGTGAGCATCTTACCGATGCATCACCACCACTCCCCTCGAGGCAATCCTCGAAAGATTGCACAACAAAGAGCGAACACTCAGGTTTGTGCACACTTTTTCTCATTAAGAGTCGTCGAACCTTGGAATGTTCTCCCAGCCTAGGTTACGTCAGCCCCCTCAGTAGACAGCTCTAAGAAGAGACTTGATAATCACGCCCTCACATATGGACTATCATCTACCTCTTGGACAAGCTGTGCATGATGGATATCTTGAGACCTGCTAGTTGTTGTCATTGCCATCAACTTAAATCACTCAATTATTCTATCTCGCCTATCATCTCTGTTTCCTCTCCATTGCTTACACATCGGTCCTCTCTAAAAATCTTCACTACCAATAAATAAACTAAATCGTCTATATGATGCATAGTTCTGCAATTTTATTCATATTAGCATTAGAATTGTAGCCTTATTATCTTTATTACTCTCCACATTCAACTAACTGATCTCCGGTATGGCAGTGTGATAGCTGCTGTTATCCAGAAACCCTACTGCCCTGAAACAAACGTATTCATTCAACTCATGGGACATACAAACTCAGGTACCACTGCCAACTGACCAGAATTAGATAGTCGAGTGACTGAACCCCCATTCATTGGACACTACCTAACACCTAAAACCGTACTGAAAGAACAAGAATCGAGAGCAAAGAAATCGATTGGTGTACACTAGCTCCTGAAAATGATATTCGAGATATTGTACATTGGATTAAGTTTACCGCCTTTTTCGGTGTCGTCGGAACAGAAAGTAATGGCCTCAAATGAGGAAATCTTAAGTGCTTTGAAGATTCTTCAGAAATACAATTTAAAGGTAAAAGCCTTTAGATTTTATATTATTTTTAAAGGAGTCAGAACTTGCCTTAAAACAAGAAGCTGGTCTAATTGATGAAAAAATCGCGGAAGAATTCCTAAAATTTAAAGCGTCAGTTTTCTTTACTTTCCGTTTCGATCTTTTAGTCAAGTAAAGGACGAACCGGAGAATTTTTGCGCTAACTACCAGTCTATCTTGACATTTGTGGATTCGGTCCCTGATATGCATAAAGTATCAATCCACATAATTCTAATTGGTTGTGCTTTCAGGTGGAGTTGTCTACATTACTCTTTCCTATTTTTGTCCATATGTATCTCCGTCTAGTCAGTGGAAACATTTGTGGAGAGGGTAATTAATTACATTTCTCATTATGGCAGCCAAAAAGTTTCTCACAACATTCAGGAAATATCAAGAAGATTTTTATCAGTCCGATATCAATATGCTGTCGAACATTACCAGTTCACAACACCTATCAATGAATCCCTTAATTGAGTCATTTAGAGCTTCCGAATTCGTGGTCAGTGTTTCTGCTGAGTCTTATTCACTTCTGCGCCAATTTCTCCATGAAAAAGATATGAATGTCATCCAAAGCATTTTAAAAGAGCAATTGTCACTTGAAAGTAAGGGTACACTACATGTGCCAAATCCTTAGTCGTCAATGGCCCTCCTAGGTCGAAGCTTCAAATCGATTGCCGTCGTGGGGCTGTGTTTGGCGAGGCTCATTTTGACGCTAACGTAGAACCTGTGTTGTATGGTCTTCTAAGAGATCCTACATTAGACTTACCAGTTGAGATAGATACTGATCCTGGAGTCAATGATGTTGATGGAGGCAATGCAGATAATAACGATGGTAATTTGCTTCTGAAATGCCTCAGGAAAAATTGCATATATGTTCAAATTGCATTATTCTGTAACGTTCTTGTATTAGTGTAATTTTTGCACACTAGATAAACACCGGATATTATAAGTTCCGTTCGAATAGAATCGCTTATTTGGAAATTAGAATTATGATGTTGTAGTTCTCTTGTTCAATTTTTGTAATCAGCCTGTCTGTATCTTGCTTTCAACACTCAATGTAATATCTAATGTTACAGTTGACTTAGATTTTCATATGCTGTTGGTCGTAAACAACGAAACTATTCTGGCATCCAATTCACAACCATAACCTTAGATACGTATGTGAAACAAGCAAAAATATTTGTCTTTTATTATTTTGTAGTTCTGCGTTTTTTTACATCATAAATCAATTTATGGCTGTGAAACATGGCCAGTATGAGTAAAGCATATTCGTCGGTTACTGGTTTGCGATCATAGGTGTCTCTGAAACATTGTTTGTATATCCTGAGACAATCGAGTATACAATGCTGTTGTTAGGGAAAGGGTACTAGGTACGGATGGCAAATAAATAGACGAAGTAGTGGGACTTCATCAATTGAGGTGGTTAAGACGCGTGTTAAGAATGCGCAACCACCGACTGCCTTGGTGAACTATGTTTTGTGTACGTACGTGCCAAGTTCTACGCTGTTGCTGACTGACATAAAGCGTCTTTTAGCTAAAGAGAAATCTGGCACCAAGTTCCCACCTTTATTTTCCTAATCTTCCAAAAAGTCACTGATGTATAACTGCCCAGCTAGTATTAAGCTTTCTTATTAGAGAAATAGAACGTTTCCTGTATCTTATTTCATGGATGTCTACATTTTTGGTAGTGTAGATATAGTCTTATTACCCTTTGGACTAGAATGCTGAACAGTTTTTTGTTAGTCAGATATATTAGAGTTGCAGATTCACTTTAATTATTAAGAATAGGCGGTTTTTGAGCTTTGTTTCGGACTTTTGCTGGTATTTGAAGGACTAATGATATAACATTGTAATTATTTCATTCTAATAGTGATTAACATATTTCCTAGATCGCTAATGTGCTTTTGGCTATTTGTTAGACAATGGAGACCAAAGTGTTACAAAAAAGAAGAAAAAAAAAGATGGTGTAACTTCTGCTACTGGACATTCTGGTAGATCATCTCTTTCAAAAGACGTTAGCAAATCTGATTCCAACTCTCCAGCTCTTGATCGTATTCCCCTGCCTAAGGTAGTTTCTATTTACTAATTGCTTGTTTTATAGTCAGTTTTTGCCGATTTATTTTGGAATAGATTTTCATTTAGAAAACCACACGTGGACTAATGTACGTAGCTACCAAGTTCCACGTTGTTGCTGACTGACTGACTTGGAAAACCGAAACTTCTAGAGTTAGCATCACTGGTTGTTTAGTTTGCTTAGTTGAAAAGGCCTGATGTTTGTGTCTGAGGTCTTTATACGCTAATTACATGATGGATGTTTTTCATGTCTGAAATCACATTCGTTGATTATATATTTTAAAGTTTTTAAACGGAAGCTGTATCTTCTAACAATCATTTCAAAATAAACATGTAAAGTCCGCAATCATCATGACTGATAGTAAGCTACGTGAGTTGTTCACGATCTGCGCATCTTGTAACTCGGGTCACTCACTGCTCATTTTCGTACTCTGTACAAATATTTTATGTTCAGGTTAATTTTTTTTTATATTTCATGTAATTTGTTGCCACGTTTGCTATAGTATATATATGTCAAATTTAAAGCTCAGTTTATTGTCAGTAAATGTACACTGCGATCTGCGACCGTTAATACTTCTATATTTCAGTTATTATATGTTTGCAATTTTCTAGCTTCGTGAGTCATACATAGAGAGTAAACATGCTCTTTCGCGAGAGATATCTACGCTCCTACGTAATTATCAGCAGCGAAATCCACAAAAATCTTCAGTTGGTACCAGCACAGTCCTGTATACAATATGCAATTCTCAGGCTGGTGAATCAACCCTAGCTATTCGGAGAGGGGGTGTTACGTGCTGCAGTTTCAGCGACGACTCGTCACAACTAGCTGCTGGATTCGGATCAGGTCGTATTCGTGTTTGGTCTTTAGGTCCCGAATCTCTAAGGCGTATGCTTCCAGCTTCAGAGTTGAGCTTACTGGATAAAGATGATTCGAGAGTGAAAACTAATATGTTATATGATGAAAACGAGTGAGTTATTTTTGAGTGCTCGTTTGCTGGTCTCAGTTTCACGAAAATTAAGTCTTTCAGTTTGATTGACTCGCTGACTGAAATATTCTAATCAGTTTTACTAGGTCTAGACCTTCCACCGATCGGTCCTAATCGACTTAAGGCTTGCCAAAAATGTTCATTAGCTGGAGTAACCATACCAAAGCAGCACAAAAAGATAAAACCAACAAGATGAATAAGAAGCGATGATAAAAAAATACAAACTTGAGAATAAATGATTAAATGGTATAATTCCACTCTATTGCTTTCGAACTTAAGCTCCGTTGAAATAATAAGCTAGATATGCGACTTAATTTATTTATCGTCTTCTTATTCTGCTTAGCTTAATTTTAGTTTTCAACCTCCTGTTTCGGCTCTTGTACCAACGACCATCCGTGCTGCTTAGGTTATCATTATTTTTAACGAGCATGAATAGTTACTTTAAAAGCCTAATATATGTAACCACTCATCGTTAGCAAGTCATATAGACTAGGTATAAAATAACAACTATGATTAAACAACAGATATTGGGCCATATTAATGTAAAAGTCTGGTCCAGAAACCTAAATCTTTTAAATTTTTACAACCGAAATATAAGATGATGTAGATCAGTTGATAAAGTAGTGAAACTCCATCAGTTGAGGTGGTTGGGACATGTGATACGTATGCCCAATCATCGACTGCCTCGACGAGCTATGTTTTGTGATGTAGCAGTAGGTTGTGAGAAAGCTAGGGGCGGCCAGAACAAAACATTTCAGAAATCCATGAAGTCACTGACAAGTGGACTGAGTCATGTTGGTAGATGTAGGCTACCTGGTTGGGGTTTGTGAGACGAAACTCACAGACGGTTAGAGATCTTGAATGACGTGGCTCAAAACCGTTTGCAATGGCGCAGGTGCATACATTCTTTCTGTTTTCTCAGGTCTTGACCTTCTGAATTCCTTATCATCTCTGTCCTTCGCTTTCTAAATTTATCTCACTAAATTGTACTTCTCAAATCATATCTTTGAACCCTAATCCTCTCCATTACTGCTGATACTTCTACTATCGCTACCACTGTGCTAATGCGATATGGCAACCTAAACTGATGTATGTACGTATGAAGTTCTACGTTGTAACTGACTGACTGATTGATTGATGTAGAAAGTAAACTGTATCAGTAAAGTATTTCCACGGAATTATAATTGTTATTTGACATCATGGATGAAAATTATTCGACAAAATAGTTGGTTCCTTATTTTCATATTTGTACGGCTTGTTTATGGTCCTCAGCTTTCTGAAATGCATTTTCATTTGTAATCTCCACCTTAGATAAATTGTTGTTGTGTACAAAACGTCAGTAATCCAATTTTTCCAGCATTGCATATTCGTTACATAAAATCTCGTTTTCGTTTGAACATCAGCAAACTAAGAATGCTAAATTCCTAAGATTTCTTAATAGTAGATCGCTGAAAAATAAACTATTTCAAATCCTCAAATATATTTTATTAAAATTTATGTTCATTAGTGATACTTATCTTGATTTTATGTGCTATTTTAGTGAAACCCACTTAACTCGGGATCTGTTAGGTCATCTTGGAAGCGTGTTCGGTGTTGCATTTAGTCCTGACCGACAGCTTATTGCTTCAGCTAGCTCAGATGGTACTGTCCGATTATGGTCCACTTTAATCTGGGGTGGGGCTCTAATTGCATGGCGTGATCATCTCTTACCTGTTTGGTGTGTCACTTGGGCTCCTACATATGGTCACTATATAGCAACTGGAGGAGCTGATCGTAGTGCACATTTATATGCAACGGACCATGCACCAGATGCTCTACGTGTTTTTGTTGGACATAAAGGTGATGTAACATCAGTCTGCATACATCCAAACGTTAATTATCTTGCAACTGGCAGTGCTGATCGAGCTGTACGCTTATTCGATGTTCGTTCTGGAAAGCTAACCAGAATCTATACAGGTCATAAGGTACGTAGTTTATATCAACATTCGAATTCAGGTTTTTGTTTAACAAGTCATTTGCTACTCACTTTTGAAGATTCTCCAATATTTTTTAATCAGATCACTCTGTTAATGAACCGAATTGATTGATTGATCTGTTAATGAAAAGACAGGATAGTATATGCTTGTAAACCTTTCACAATCCAAAAAATATTAACATGTCAGTGGTATATTTTGGGACCATCAAGTGAGAAATACTAAGTTTAGACACAGAGTATTAGGTAAGTATGGAAAATCAATTGAATCCTTATTGACTAAGATGGTTGGGACATGTATTGCGTATGCTTAACCATCCACTGTCTTAAGAAATAGAAAAGGATAAAATATACAACAATGATAATAATACTAAAGGGGACATTAGTGGAAGAAATGAGAAAACAATTAGTGAATATTTGGAATGGAACTTATTGTGTAATTCGATGTTTAAGACTCAAGTTCCAGTCAACAAATCTGAAACATCAGATACGATTCTGACTAAAAATACTCGTGTTCATTGATAAAAAAAATAAAAAAGAGGATTTAAATCAGAGCACCCTCATTTTCCTTGTTGTTACTTGTCCACTTGTCGAGACTCTCTTAAAGTAATACGCAGATATGACATCGCGATACTCAAACTAACATTCAAAATTAGAGGTCGTACTTCAAGTCACTGTTCTTAAGGTTGGGCTTTTCGGAGACGGGTCAGATCTTTTTTTAAAAATCTTATATTTTGTAGAATGACTCTAATACAGAATTTCCTAAGTAAAGTCGATAAGGAGTACGTACCATCTAATGTAATCATTGAAAACACTCCATCCAGTTTTTTCTTATTCCTAATAGTTTAATGGCAGTATTCGTGTGTTCGTTTAGCATAAACTCCAAAGCCTAGTTCATTCATTCTCCCAAAATGTCATTGAAATTCGTTGTATAGAGAACGGTGAAAAGAAAAGTGTTAAAAGCATTCTTATTTCACTAAAGTAAGCACAAATTCCTTCAAATTTTACAATACATATGTTGGTTTCATTTTTACACAATATTATGTACTTAATATTTTTCTCTCCGATGTTTCAGGGTTCTGTTCAGAGTCTTGCATTCTCACCTTGCGGTCGTTATTTGGCTAGTGGAGGTTGGTGTGGTACTACATGTCTTTGGGACCTAGGGTCCGGACAACAGGTTGGTCAGCTGGGAGGTTATTCAGCTTCTAGGACTTCTGTAAATCAACCAAGTAGTGATTTCGAATTTCAGGAAGCTAATTCAGACTCAAGTCAGTGGTTAACTGGTCCAATTGTATCTCTTGCATTTTGCCCTGGCAACTCAGGACGTTTGGCTTCAGGTGGTTTGGAGGGAGCACTACGCATATGGAATACAGTTAATGGTTGGTCAACTGCTGTTTCCACTTTAGCTACTGGTAATAGTGATGATAAAAATTCGAAAACTAATCTTTTAGCCTTGCATCGATCCACCAAACAGCAGTTTACCCGTCACAACTCTAAAAATAATAAGAACAATGGGGTTGTAAGTCACAATGTTTTGGGATACTATTCTCCAGCAATTGGCCCTGATGTTTCTGATGCATGTGCTAGTGAAGTGTTTTTCACCAGACGTACTTCAGTTCTTGGACTTCATTATGTTCATCCTTATTTGCTTTTAGCAGCTGGGCCATATAACCAAACCTAATTGCTCTAAGTATATATTTTTGATGTACAGTTGATTTTTATTTTTCCTTCTCGATTATTTTGATACTGTTTTTGTGCAAACTTTCTTATACTACTGCATTTCCATAAAAGTAGTTTATACTATTTGCCTAATATTTACTAGGCACCAATGGCATTTTTATGCATTCGCTCCTACGGTATTTCATTAACTTACTTTTTAGTTTCTTGTGAAGAATATAAATAGATTTTTCGAAAACAAATATGTTTTATCAATGTACTATCAATGTACACTACAAAAAGAAAAGGAGTCAAATTAATAGCCATCAGTCAATCAATGCCTCGCTTATCTTAGGGGTCTCATTAGTGTTGATGGTCTGTTGGCTGGCGAAATCTCAGCACGGATACAGAAGGCTCGACTGGCTTTCGCCGATTTGCATCACTTATAGCGTAGGAGAGATATGCGTCTGGTAATCAAAGGACGAGTCTACTGCGCATCATTTCGCTCCATCCTACTATACAGGTGTGAAAAATGGTCACTAAGAGTAGAGGATATTCGTAGTTTACTAGTTTCCGATCATAGATGACTTCGAAGCACTGTTCGTATATCCTGGAACAACCGAGTAAGGAATGCTGTTGTTAAGGAACGGGTAGTAGGTAAGGATGGTAAATAAATAGACGAAGTAGTGGAAATTCATCAGATGAGGTGGTTAGGACGTGTTAAGAATGCGCCTGGCGAGCTATGTTTTGTGGTATAGGAGTAGGTTGGAAGAAATCTAGGGGCGGCCAGACCAAAACATAAAGTAAATCCATGAAGTCACTGACAAGTGGACTGAATCATGTTGGTAGATGTAGGCTACCTGGTTGTCGTCCGTGAGATAATCGTAACCGATGGTTCGAGACTGACTGACCTGAGTTTCTTTGCCTATAAACTTTCAAATTACTCAAGCGCTAGCGTCTATTCCTAGTTGGTGTGAGCTGTGATTGAGCATACGAAACTCACCTTTAACTGTTATCCTTCATCTGATGAAAACACATTCTCACTGTTCGCTGTTTGGGTTAAATATACAAAGGCCAAGTTTGTAAGTAGTTGGTTACAGTTTCACGAGTGTGCCACTCTGTGTTTTCAAAAGTTATAGGTACCAGTCGTTTATGCACTTATTCGGTTAGTTGATGTATTACTCTTCATGGTTTCAATGTTCAATCGTGTAACTTTCATTATCTGTTGAAATAAATGAAGATAAAACAACATTCAATTTGTTACAGTTCATAGTTGTATCTAAAGGAAATGCAGTAAAATGAAGTGTATATCTAAATGATGAACTAAAGAGATTCAAATAATGAGACCAATAAACTGGCCTACTCTGTCAGGTTTTGATCAATTTTACCTAATCGGCGCACTAACTGACTCCTAGCATGGTTGACGCTAACTAAATATTCTTCACTGTATAGGCTGACCAATGATGATTCAGTGTTTTGTGCGCGTCATTCTTACTCTTCAGTCGTCGAACCAAAATTGTATGACTAAACTTCCATAATTTATGTTGAACGCCACCTAAAATTCAAAGTAATATCCATACACTGTTTCAAATACAACCTGAATTTGAGATTTAAGAAAAAAATAAAATCTTTGATATTTAGAAATTTCGATTTTACAAACTTTTACCTAACTGATAGCTTGGTCTTTCTTCGTAGTAAATATTGATACTTGGCGAAAACGACTACTTCTTCATTCAGTCTTCCTTTCAGAAAAAATACTGAACTAAAAACGTATTTGCATTTCGGTAATTCGTCCTTTCTGAGTACACACTTTACCTCTTGAACCACATTAAATGAATTCCACTTCTGCCCACACGCGGTAAGTGTACTAGCACCATTATTGTTTATACCAACGATTAATAACCTGCAAAAAATTCTTAATTTACTGATCAGAACACTGAAGAGACTAGCCCATTTCTTTGTATCATTCTGTATTCTTTTGGTATTCTCCAAATCTCACGCTATTGTATGCATAAACTAAAAGATGACTCATCATAAAAGCATTCAATAGACACAAAACGACAGACAGATACAACGCACAACTTCGTACGTAAGTACATCAGTTCAGGTTGCCATACCACATCAGCACACAGACGCAATAGTCAGTTCAAATCCGAGAGTGATAGCGATAGTAGAAGTATTAGCAGTAATGGAGAAGATTAGGGAGCGAAGATATGATTCGAGAAGTATAATTCAGTGAGATAAATTTAGAAGGAGAAAGATAGAGATTATGAGGAATTCAGAAGGTTAGAATTTGAGAGAACACAAATAGTGGATGCACCTGCGCCATTGCAAACGATTCTGAACCATGTCGTTCAAGGTCTCTAACCATCAGTGACTTTGGTCTCGCGGACCCCAACCAGGTAGTCTACATCTACCAACATGACTCAGTCTACATGTCACTGACTTCATGGATTTCTGCCATGTTTTGGTCTGGCCGCCCCTAGTTTTCTTCCAGCCTACTCCTACACCACAAAACATAGCTCTACAAGGCAGTCGGTGATTGGGCATACGCAAAACATTTCCCAACCACCTCAACTGATAGAGTTTCACTACTTCATCTACTAATTTGCCATCCCTACCTAGAACTCGTTTCCTAACAACAGCATTGCTTATACGGTTGTCCCAGGATACACGAGCAATGCTTCGGAGACACCGATGACCGAATGCTTGTAACCTACGGAAGTCCTCTACTCTTAACGGCCATGTTTCGCATCGGTACAGTAGGACGGAGCGAACTGCTGCGCAGTACACTCGTCCTTCGTTTAGCGAGCGGATATCTCGCCTGCGCCATAGGTGATGCAAGTTGGCAAAAGCCAATCGAGCCTTCAGTATCCGTTCTGAGATTTCGTCAGTCACCAGGCCATCAGCACTAATGAAACTCCCCAGATACGTGAAGCGGTCTACACACAACGAACAATTTTGTGGAGCGAATTTGTGAACTAGGTTTAGGGTTAGTTTACGGTAATAAATGAAAGGTGAAAGACAAAGCAACAGTTAATTAGTTAGGTAAAAGCTTAAAAATGGGACAATATTAAAATTCTACAAACCAGCTGTTAAATATATATATATATATATATTCTGCAGAAAACAGCTTTCGCAGTTCCACATTTTTATCCATTCTATTCATTCTAATACATTACATCTCCCATTAATGATTTGTGAGATGTTTATCAGTAACAACAATTCTCTCTTAGCTTTTCACATTGATGATAGAGTTAAAAGTACACTGAAATTTAACACATTGTCAAATACACCTGATCTTTAATTTTTCATTTTAATGATTTATCATAGTTGTACTTTATTGAAATATAATAAATTGTGTCAATATTTCTCCTTCATTCATAGATTCATTGGTTTTTTTCAAGTTATGTTGAGAGTGTCCATCAAATTATGGTATGAAATTATTCTTAACACAGGATTTTCTTCATTGACATGTGATTTATTTAAGACGAAAATATGCAAAACTATTGAAAGAGAATGAGAAGAGATGTAATATGTTTTGTTCTATTATTGCACAATTTTTAACAAAACTATGGATGATTTGTGCATGAATAATCAGCAAATAAATGTATAATTTGGATTTACAAAAGACATTATTGTTAAATTTTGTACATCCTTAGTTAATTAGCATGTAATTAAGGGAAAAAATATACAATTGAACAAAAAATGTTTTAATTTACATATTCATATAACTAAATATCAAAAATGAGCAATAAGAGTATATGTATTGGCGTTGAGCGATCATGAAATGATGTAGCCAACCGAAAGAAAACATTGAAATCAGTAACCTAGATGAGTTTTATGTCATATTACCTGTTTATATATTAGGCTGAGTAAGAATTTAAAAGATGTTGTTTAGCTCAAATGTATATATGTATATATATGTAAATATCTTTAAAACAGGTAAAATTACTTAGTGATAAAAATAAAGTGATCAGTGTTTATTATGTGTGATTTAATATCGAGCTATCTACTTCAGATTCCTAAAATCAGAAATTAAAATTATCAAGTTAAAAGAAATAAAATATAATCATAAATGTAAATTATCCCGCTATATTTGGTGGTTTCAAAAGGAATTTTGACATGAATCTAAAAATGCTTGATTAATATTTCCTACTTTGATCAGTAATATAAAATATATATATATATATATATATATATATATATATATATATGTATATATATATATGTATATATGTATATATATATATATGTATATATATATATATATGTATATATATATATATAATTCAAATCATTTGGTTACATTCAAAGCATTTGACTAAATGGTGTATATTTAGGTTTTTTTAATCAAGAATTAAAGCTAATAGCGAAAAATTTTATTTTACATATGTTGGGGATGTTAGATCCCCAAAACTCGTTTGATAAATATCTTTATTTTAGATTTATTTCATGGGCCTATCAGTTGACCTTGAGATCACATTTCCCACCAGAAAAATCCTTGGCTATGATGTGTTAGTGTGTCATTTTAGTGTGCTATTTTTGTGACTGTCCCAAGGACGTCTCTATGGGGTATAAATAAACTCAATTTGAGTGCTTGGATTCATTGTTTGCTGGCTGAGTGTTTGTAGAACACACTTTCTACGCTATGTAAAGACTTCTTGCTGATTCATTTTGGTCAAGGGATCACAGTAACCTACCTGGACGCTGGTTCATTTTTTTGTTCTCGTTATTCGACCAAGATGAACCCGTAATAGTTTAAGCATACCTAGAGACGAGCGTAACAACATAATGGAATATATTTTGAAAGAAATTTCATCAAAATATTTAATCTAAATAAGTTGGTTTGTGACTGACTTATTTATCAAGTTCATAAAATATTTTGTTTAAATTTCAATCATATAGTGTAGATAGAAATATTACTTAAACTATGCTATTCAAACTTATACATTAACTATGCGCAATCGCAATTTCATAAATTTATGGAATATGAATTAAGACTTTAAGTTACTTTTTAGTATTTATTTTGCATAAATAATTGTTGTAATTTCTGTTTTTACTCAATTGTATAAAATATTTTCTAAATGGTTTCTTTTTATATTGAATTTTAAGTGTATATATATACATAGTTATGGCAGATGTTATTGTGATAGATGGAATGAAAATATAGTTGTTAAAATTTATTTAATTCCTAATAATTCATTTAGTTACATTAATAAAAGTCATCAATCAATTATTGTTAGACCACCATTAGAAA